AGTAGGATCCAACGGGAGCTTCGCTCCTGGGCTTGTGCTGCTCCCAAAGGCATTTTCGGTGGCACGTCCCAAACTCTTTAGATTTTTGATCCCTAAGAGCAGTGATGGTGGTTTGGAACGTGAGTTATGTCCCACTCCTTCAGCGGGGAGCGTGTGCGCTGTCTCTGAAACTTCCCAGCCGGCCCCCCTTCAGAACAGGTGTGTGGAGGCACTTTCTGCTTCCCCTCCTAGCAGACCGAGCTTCCTAGCAGACCTAGATCTCTTAGCTTCACCCTAGGAGACACGTAACCAAATAGCTTGCTTCAGGTTTCTTCACAGAACACTTCGTGTATCTCTGCTTTATGTCCTGATGTGATACACTGCCTTAAACCGTTCTCAAAATGCATTACCTTTTCGTCTTTTCTAATGCAATCTCATCTGGGTCTTAGGTATCCCTTTACACCCGTTTTGGTGTCGCTGCTGTTTAACGCACAATTAGTGTGTTCATCTGTAACTGTGGTGCAGAGATGTTTGCTAGTGAAACTGGTGTTGCACAAAAGATAAGAGGAATTGTCAGTATGGAATGGTTGGACTTTTGTAAAGAAGAATGAGAGAAAGGGCAAGGGGTTGAAATAACAAATTAATGGCATATAGGAATACAAAATGCAACTCTGTGGGAGCACAGTTCTTGAAAATATACTTTAATCTATAATACTTAGAAGTGCGATCTGAGGCCTTCCCTTAGACACTTACTTGAGTGGAGCCAGCAGGTGTGTTTAACAGACTCATGATGAACTGGCTGTAGGATTTTTTTGTATACTATGGCCTAAGTGCTCTCCTGGATTCAGTGCTTAGAAGCTGTGGAAACAGAGCAGTGCCTCCTTACTCAGAGATAATACTTCTGAAGTAACTATCATTAGGAAGCACCAGGAGGGGGAGTGAGCAGCTCACTGACTTAGATTGTTCTAAGTTCTCAAATTCGTCTTCTATTCAGTAGGGAGGCTGAGAAGCAAGTAGAGATTTTCTTGTTTCAGAACTGAGCCAACTAGCACAGCCAAGGTTGCAGTAGTGTCATTTCCTCTACTTTAACTGTAAGTGGCAAATAACACTCCATATTGTATTACTGGAAGTAGCACGTAACACTGAATACTGGGCACTGAGAACAGCCTTAGGGCCAGAGAAAAATTCTCTTAGAGCTTGGTGCTTCTGTAATTTTTGCATAATGAGTGACAAAGCATCCAAAGATATTTATGAAATTTCGGGACTAGCATCTCTTCCAACATCAGTTGCCAAACTGCCTTCTGAATATTACGTGCAAACTTGAAGGTGTTACTCATGCTGTGACATAGTGACTTTCTGTGAGGATTCAGTGTCTCCAAAGTACTTGAAAACAGTATTTTGCTGAGTGATGCTGTCCCCAAAACCTACATGAGTTGTAATTCAGAGCTAACTGTGCTACTGTGCTGCTGTGCTTTTGAGTCAATGTTGACTTTATATTCTGTCCTGTTTGGACCACATGGACTTAAAAAGGGGCAGATGCTGCTGTGAGTTGTTGAAAGCATTAACAAACCAGCTGCACCTACTGTATGTCATGATGAGGCTGCTGTGGGGAAAGCAAAGACCATCTGGGTTATGACTTCACTCTGAAGCTTCAACTGAGCTCCACACAGAACATAAAAACATGTTTCTCTATTTAAGTTCAAATCATGGATTATCAAGTCTCCGTAATAAAATGTCAAGCTCTGGAAAAGGTCTCACTTCTAATACAATATCTGGCAACTCTGTTGGGAAATCTGATCCAAGAAACCAGTATTTTAGAATAGAGTATGACAGGTGGATTATAAAGGTGGGTAGATAGATGAAGGAACTTCAGTGTAGCAGAGAGAATTTTTCATGTAATTTGGTATCTGTCTGTGGAGCCATAAGAATAATTATCACCTAGATGTTTGCACTCTTGGAATAGGGGATGGAACATTTTGTCTTTTGGCTTTATGGGCCAAATTAGGGTCATTTGGTCAAAGAACAAAGCTTTTGGAAGCCTCTACATAAAATGTGTGCTGCTTTCTTGCTGCTCAGGCTTCTCCCTGAATAACACGGTGCAAATGTAAAAGTCTCGTTGTAGAAATTCCTCTGTCTTCAACCTGTTTTACACCAAAACTGTTTGACTGCTCTGTTTGTGTTGGTCTAAATAAAGCTGACATGAGCCTGTGTCGCAACTGTTCTGTCTTAGGATTAATTGCACTCTGGTCAGTTGGTAGGTTCCTGTTTGCTTTTATGCTGGACATGACCAGCAGAGAGAAAAATCTATTAATGCTTTTGATTCTTTGTATGAATAATTTTTGGTTATTTATCTGAATAGTTAGTTCTAGTTGTGAATTTGCACAGAGTGAGAAAAATACATTGGATTTGAAGAGCTAGTCATAATGACTTGGGGATTCATGAGTCTCTTGATCCACTTTTAATGGTGATTTCTGGAAAGTATCTGAAGTGTTTTACACCCAGAGCCTGAAGTCTGTATGTAGTTGGTGCATTGTCATGTTTAATTTGAAACTGCTATCTGGACAGTATTGCTGAGAGCTCTGTGAAAAAAATTTTCAATAGTGTCATCTATCCGGAGAGTAGCAGGGCTGTCAAAACTAGTTTGACTGAGGCAGCTGTGTATTTTTGGAAATTGCAAGCTGTTGCATGTACAGATGTCCAGCTGTTGAAATCGTGAATAGTTTTTTGAAGGAGGGTGAAGGGAAGGGGAAAGGAATCCCTGTTCCTGTCTCAGTACACAACAAAACAAATAACTTGTAGTTGACATTTTCCTTTCTTATGATAGTTAATGTTAGAGAATTGGTGACTTTATTTTTTCCCTTTTGATATTTTTCAACTTAATTTAAGTGAGAATCCTGTCCAAATAGTATTTCATCAGTGTGTTTACCATTTAGTGCTTCCCTGTGGGGTGGGGGGAATAACTTCGAGTGCTTTCAATTTGCCCTCACCCTACATAGCATATGGTGGAGAGGGACTTGGCTTAAAGGCAGCGATCTGACTCTTCAGTTGCTCTACCTTTTTGAGGCACTAATTTTTTTCAATTATTTGGTTTTGTATTTGACTGTTTCTCTTAGGAGAACATTTTGTTTCCTGCTCAGTTTGTAACTGGCTAGAATGTTCCAAAGTCAGCAATCTAGAGCCCTGGGTGAGGAGTTTGGGTCGTGCTTTAAGTCACTACCACTGCTCTTAGGGACAAAAAACCTTTAGAACTTGGAGTCCTGCCTGTCCCATGCTGGAGAGCACAAGAACCTTGATGAGAATCCTACCAGAATGCAATTCTGCTTCTTGGAAATGAAGGTAAATATTTCCCTCCTCTGTCCACTGTCGGTTCTTTTGGTTTTTTCATTTTCTTTCTACTCTAATAGTTTGCACCTCAGTCCTGTCAACTTTGTTTAAGAAAACAAAACGGACTTATTTCATGATGTTTATGTACATGAGGAGATAACATTTGTCTTAATCTTTTCCTGTCCTACAGATGCAATGGATCAGCTTGAGCAGAGGGTAAATGAATTTTTTATGAACGCAAAGAAAAACAAACCTGAATGGAGGGAAGAACAAATGACATCAATCAAAAAAGTAAGGATATCACAGGAGCAGGTCGCATTTTTCTTTCATGAACAAAGATAACCTTAGGAAAAAATAGCTTAGGACTGATGGAGACTTAAGCATTCAGAACTGTGGCTTCCCTTGGGCTTTTGCAGAGATGGATAGGACTACCTAGGAGTGCAAGGTTTCTTTGATCAAGCGTTTCTTTCAAGTTTACCCATTAGTTGCTAGCATTTTAAAAATTGCGGTGCTGAAATGGTGGGGAAACCAGGTACTAAATTTTCAGCTCAAGACTTTTTTGTTTCTGCTTGTGTGGCAAGAATTTGCCTAGGTTAATTGGCTTTCTTCTAGAGGATCTTCTTCAGGCTTAGCCTCAGCATTCCCTGTGATTCTGCCTGTGTCCTTAGATTTTTATGTTTGAGGTCTGTAGCTTTAGAGTGGGAGGAATAAGAAGATGGATGTGTTTTGTTTTATCCTTCAGCACTTGGGCATTGATGGTTGGATTGTTCGCAAGGTAGTCCATCATTTTGTCAGGGGAAACTCCTCTCTAGACTCCTACGCTTCCTATTTCAGCCACTTATTTGGCCAAGATTATTTTTTGTAGTTAATACAGATAGATTCCTGGTTTTAAATAAAGAAAAAGTCAAAGCTCTGACTTCACTGGAGTAAATGAAAAATTTGCTTTTGACTTTTAGTTGAAGCAAAATTTCAAGTAGTTTTCTCCTAAGCAAAATACTCTTTAGTGGAAACTGAGAAAAAGGCACTTAAATCTGTTTAAGTATAGAGTAAAAACATACTTAAACACACTTTTTAAAAAAGAAAAATAGTTTTGTGGATTTTCCTGAGTTAGAGCAGACTTTAAAATTGGATTACTGTAGTCAGTTTATTTTATAATACCCTTATGAGTTATACATTTATATTTTAAAATAATTCCAACTCTATGTACGTCATTATTGCTATTTAGCTACAGTGTCGTAAAGGCCTCCCCTCACAGTACTGTTTAGCATGGTTTTTCAGTAGTGCCTGCAGTGGTCCTAAAGACCCATACGAAGTAAAAGATACCATCCCATTCTGAGTCCATAACTTTATACTGTGTTCCATAAAAGGAATCTGAGACTTTTTTTCTTTTTCTGAAGCCTTTCCTGCAGAAATCTTAGTATCACTGTATGAGGAAGTGTCAACATCTCGTAGTTTGGCTTTTTCTAAGGCACAGACAGCAAACTGATAGGTATTATATCTCATCTAAACTTTAGCTGATTGTGTACAGTCAAGTTTCACAGTCTTTCAGGAAACTGACTTGAATTTTCCTTTACTTTTTGTGCTGAATAACTATAGCTTAAAAAGACTGAAATTAATTCAGTTATGTTCATGATTTTTAAATTGATTCTCTTTATTACAGGATTATTATAAGGCTTTGGAAGATGCAGATGAGAAGGTGCAACTGGCTAATCAAATCTATGATTTGGTGAGTGGATGGAAGACTTGCAGTGAATTACCTGAACTTATGCCCTAAGGAGTTCTGAACATTTTGATAATCACTACAGCAGTGATACCTGTACTGCTGTGTCAGCTACGTGCAGATAATTTTGCTGTTGAAAGAAGCATTTAATATTTTATTGGCTTTAAAAATTTTGCTTTGGGCAGTAAGCATTGCTTAAATGCAAAACGTAGAGAAATAATCTTTAGAAGTCATAAGGTTTTCATGCATGTTGATTTTGTTTTTTTCTGAAAAGACACCACGAGCAAGTTGATCTTCCTTATAGCATGTGGGGTTTGAATTTTAGGTATATTTATTTTACATATTCTCAGAAAGTGGAACTTAACAAGTGAGACTGCATTAAATACAGCAGACATAAAACAAATATTCCTTGTCTGCTTCAGTTTCACCTCAGCTAACCAGAAGTTAATTCTGAAAGTTGGAACTTAGCCTCTTCTGTTTTTTGGTTAGTTAGTAACTGCAAAAAGCTATTCAGTATTGAATAGTTTAGAGACAGGTGCATTCTGTTGTATGACTGCAGAGGAAGAAAGCATTTGGAACATAGGGTTTCTTGCCATGATGTAAAGTTCGGATTTTATTACATTTTTTTTGTTAATTTGAAGTACCCAAGAGCACAATTCACTCAAATGCACAGGAGTCTTTGCACTTACTGTTTAGAGACTCTTTTACTCAATACTTGAGTTTACTGCCGCATATAACAGCATACAAATCGTGATTCAGTGAACACCCAGTTTCCCTGGTGCAGCCCAACCTCTTCGAAAGCGCACATGATGTGCCGTTCTTTCTTTTCTGGTTTCTCTACACACGCCCACAGTACCCTCAAGCCTGCTTCATGTTTTTTTTTTCTCAAAAGCACTTAATGCTCTGCCTTGGAACATTGCCTGTGGTAAGAGCAGGGCTTCTAGCTTCTGAGCCAGTATGCAGCCTTATTGTATCCTGCGACAGGCTGTGTGGCTTAGGAGCAACAGCAGTATTTCGGTGTTAACTCTGATGTGTTTACTGAGCTAGAGAATTGCAGATGGCTGAGAAATTATGCTTCTGTGTGTTTTTATACATGCTTAGTGCTGCGTGGCAGAGAATTCACAGAAACATTGGAGTTGGAAGGGACCTCTAGAGATCATCTTAGTCGAACACCCCTTTTTTTTTAGGAATGCCTAGAGCACATCACACAGGGTTGCATCCAGGCGGGTTTTGAAAATCTCCCGAGACAGAGACTCCACAACCTCCCTGGGCAGCCTGTTCCAGTGCTCTGTCACCCTCACAGTAAAGAAGTTCTTACTCGTATTTAGATGAAATTTCTTGTATTCCAGCTTGTACCTGTTGCTCCTTGTCCTGTCATTGGGCGCTACTGGAAAGAGTCCAGCTCCATCCTCGCTGCACCCACCCTTTAGATATTTATAGGTGTTTATAAGGTCTCCTCTCAGCCTTCTCCAGGCTAAACAGTCCCAGCTCTCTGAACCTTTCCTCATAAGAGATGCTCCAGTCCCCCAGTCGTCTTTGTTGCCCTCCGCTGTACTCTCTTCAGCAGTTCCCTGTCTCTCGTAAACTAGGGAGCCCAGAACTGGACGCAGTATTCCAGATGTGGCTTGACCAGGGCAGAACAGAGGGGGAGGATGACCTCCCTAGTCCTGCTGGCCACACTCTTAATGCACCCCAAGATACCATTGGCCTTCTTGGCAACAAGGGCACATTGCTGGCTCTTGGTTGACTTACTGTCTACCAGGACTGCAAGATCCTTCTCCTGAGGGCTGCTTTCCATCAGGTCTACCCCTCACTTATACTGGTGCATGGGGTTGTTCCTCCCCAGGTGCAGGACCCTACATTTACCTTTGTTGAACCTCATTAGGTTCCTCTCTGTGCAGCAAGAAATATTTAGCAAGCCTAAGATGAAGGACGTAGATACCTGTGTTCTAGAACTGGATGCTATTTATTATTGCTTTGTTTCAAAAACAGGTAGACCGTCACTTGAGAAAATTGGACCAGGAACTCGCCAAATTTAAAATGGAACTTGAAGCAGATAATGCTGGGATTACAGAAATACTAGAGAGAAGTACGTATGAATGGTTTTCTTTAAGAACTTTACAAATTTTCTGTCAATTTGCAAAACGAAATGATAAACTTGTTAGTAGCCTCCAGTATTTCCACTTTTTCCAAAATTATTTTGAGCCTCATACTTTCTAATCAGTCAATGATTCTCAAATTTTAGTTTCAACCTGTTTTTACTGGTGAAATCAAAATGCAACTAAGTAATTATAATAGGGGTATTTTTGCACGTCTGTTGCACTCGTGAATTGCTACAGTAAGATACAGAATTCTTTAAATGTGTTTTTAATGACTATAGGTATTCAGGCAAGTGTTTCACCCTAAGCTTGCCACCTGCTGTGTTGAAAGCACGCCATTTTTTACTTAAATTGATTGTCACCAAATTGAGGAGGGTCCATATTTTTGTTATAGGTGTGGAAAGTCAAGTAGAGTTAGGTACTTGGTGGTTTTCTTTTTCAAAGGAGAGAGAATGGTTGTTTTGTAATGGAGTAGTGAGGGAGAAGCATTTTGAGTAAGAAACCTGCATGACTAATAAATACAGCAATTCTGGTAGTCAGAATGTAAACAGAAATGTCATGTGACAGCTTTTTGGCCAATTTGACGTGGAAGCATCTGGTGTTTCTGGACACATCAGCATTTAGACACCAAGTTAAAATGTGATTATGATAAATTTCAAAGTTAATTTAACTACTGTGGTTATGGACCTAAGAGGCAGTAACTGTTCTTGTACCCAAGAACAGTGAGAAGTAAACTGCATCACTTGAGGGTATTGGGACTAAATATTCTTTCTTGGAAGTTAATCATAAGAGCTGAGGTTTTGGATATTTTATTTGTAATTGCTATTACAAATAACAGGAACAAAAAGAAAACTGCAGAGATAGTGCTTTTAATGAATTAGCAACTACAGAAAAAGGCCCAGTTTCTTTTAGTAGGAATCTCAGCTGCTGTTTTCAGATGTGATACTGCCTTCACTTGAGCTATGTGTTTGGTGAGGTAGGTAGGTAGAATTTCAAGAACTCAAACCAGAAATGTCCCAGACAGGATGTTGCATTTTTGAGTTTTGTTTGGTTTCTGATTTTCTGTTGTGTTTTTGGTTTGTTTTTTAATAAAATGAACAGTAGGAGCCTTTTAACATTTTTAGCTTTTAGAGTAAACCCAGGTTGCAGAGGTTCCGCCAGGGGGCAGCCCTTGGGCTAGTTGATAACACGGTCAGTGTCTGCTCAGTCACAGTATCTCCTGGTGCTTTGAACCTCTTCTCGAATAACATCCTTTAAACTTTTGTAATATACTCATGTACTTTCTGAAAGCACTGAAAGAGGTAAAGAAATAATGAAGCTACAGATTTTGAAAAATGAACATGAATTACTTGCTTCAGTTGTCTTATGTGTAAGGTAGGTATGGCAGCTAGTTCAAAATCTCCCTACCAAAGATTGATAAATAAACTGTTTTTTATTGTCTCAGTGGAAATTTATGTTCAAAGTCTCCCTTATGCTGTGATTTTTTTAGCCTCACATTGCAAGAAATGTTATTCTTAGACATAGAAATGTTATTCTTAGACATAAGCTTGCATTTGTACTCCCTTGCCTTTCTTCTTTTTTATTTCTTTTTGCCTTCTTCATCTTTGGATTATTGCTCTGTATTTTGAATGGTAAGAAGAAATGAGTGATGATCTTCACCCCTTCCTGC